GTTGTCCACTAATAAACAGGGTGAATAGGACCGATCCAGAACCCCTAAACATTGGTGTCAGTTAGGAGTCCTGGGAAATCCATGGGGCCTCTGGTAATGGATCAGTATGTATCCATAGTAAACAAATGGACTTTGGGACCCCATGTCACATAGAGGGATATTTTCTCAGTCCAGACACATGGGGGAGGGCCTGGGCCCTGCTCCAAATGATATGACACACTGTGGAGATCCCCCATGGAAAGCCTCATCCTCCCTGGGGAGCAGAAAGGGGATGGGATGGGGGGCAGTGGGGACAACGGAGGAGAGGGATAGGGAACTGGGATTGACATGTAAAACAAGCTTATTTCTAATTTAAATTAAAAAAGAAAAAATAACAGGCTGAGTCTCAAAGCAGTAAACAAAATTATACAAGGAAGATATTTTCAAGGCATATTTTTTATAACTGTCTTGATTTCTAGACCGTGAAATGTTATTAACCACACTATAAACCTAGCTAATGATAGGAATTGCTACCATATAAAACTGATGTTAAAACTTCATGCCATGTGCAGTGGCAGGATGGATCAGTGGGTACAGATACTTCTGTTGTGGTGATGTGAGGATTTGAGCTGGATCCTGGGATCCCACAAGGTCATACATGCCTACTACCAACCTCTCTCTCTCCCTCTTTCTCTTTCTCTCTCTCTCTGTCTGTCTCTCTCTCACACACACATACACACACACACACACACACACACACAGAAACACACACACAAACACACCACACAATAAATAGGCAGATAAATAAATGAGTAAATACATAAATAAATAAATAAATAACAAATGAAGCTGCAGACTGTCTTCCTTACCAGTGTCAATAACAGTTCGTTTGCCTTATATCATTTAAGCAGAACCAGTAATACAAACTTTACTTAGGGGTAAAGTAAACAATATCATAAAGTAAACAATAAGGAAGTCATGACACTGATTTCAGTGGATTTTGTACTGATGCTTTTAGCTGCACTTTTGCCATTGGTGTCTCTGTTTCCTTTTCAATAGGCCAACCTTAGAATTGCATTTTTAAATTGAGTGCGTATCTATTGCTATTCACAAAACGCAGCCTATGGAATTGGGGTCCTTATCTACTGCCAGATCAGCCCTTCACAGCATTACTGGGTACATTTGAAAGGCATTACAAAGATGATGTATGGCTTATGTGAATGTGCTTCTCTATGTGCGTGCATGTGCTCAATAAAATCAATAAGGTATTGAAGTCACTTTTATTTAATGTTCATAAAGAAAAATGCTCCCGGGCTTTGCTTCAGTTTTTTGAACCTACCAACAGGGCTAACTGCGTGGCACTTCTGTAGTCCTTCCTTTTATTGTACACAGCCTGCAGCATCTGCTATGCTATTATTTATAATATGTATACATCGTTACATATTCTTTTCTGTGAAATTATAATTTATATCACAACAGGGCCTTCCTTACCTGACTTTTAACAAAATGGTTTCCATATCTAACTAACCCATAATATCTGCTCAATAAATATTTATTAAACCTATGGTTAATCTAACACAATGTACTTACATAACACAAAGCTGTGTTAAGTTTTCTAATGAAATGTCTAGTCAGGTTCTGCCTGACATTAAGAGTTAGTTACTTAAATGAAATACTAATATTTGTTATTCAGCAGAGTGTTTTAAGAAAAATATTTTCTTTGATATTATCATTCTTTAATCAATTTTGTGATCATATAGGAATTCTTGGAAAATAAAAATGAATATGAACATATATATATTTAAGTAATTTTAAACTAGAGTAATATTTTACTTAAAATATTTAATTATTTTCTGGAAAATGGATATTAAATTCAAAACTACTGAAATTTTTAGTTTAATTATTGTACAATGATGAGACTTTTAAATATTACTAATATTGAGTATGTATCATGGCGTTCTTCTTTTTGCTCAAAAGTAAAATATTGTTGTATATTTCTTTGACACATTATAAGAACTGTAATAGAGTTATAATCCTGTGTTTTTATAAAATGTTTACATGAATAATATTCACAATATTTAGTGTGCCATTTTGTTATTATTATAGGTAATAAGCTGAAGGCACTATAAAAGAATCAAAATACACTTTCTATGAAGATAGTCACATATCACTACTTTCATTATGACACGTGTCTTCCACTTCAGGACAGAAATACAATTATTAAGTTTAATCAGTATTTTCCTCTGACTCTGCTAAGCACTAGCATTCTACTTCAATTGGCCAGAGAATATGTTTCTCTTTTTGGAGGTCAAACAATTTTGAGAAATACTCTCAGTGTAGTTGCCTTACCAAGCAAATATTGACAAAGTAGTTTATTTTTACTTAGCAGGCAAGAAAATAGGAAGATAGACAAGGCAAGTCAATTGCATAAAGCTTATTTTATAAATCATTTTTATGTGGGTGAGATCAGATTTACCAAATCACTATTACCAAATCACTATCTAGTCCTCATGTTATTGACTGATATTTAAGATATTTTGAAGACATAAAAGTCATGAATGTTCTCCTTACTGTATTAGAAAGAATAAAGTTGTAATATGATTCCTGCCTGATAGTTGCTTCAAAATTTGAGTCAAGCTGTATAAATGTGTTGCCTGCTTGTAATGGGCAGCTTTCTGTACTATTTGAATTTACAGACCACTATAGTAATGATTTAAGTGGAAGATCACTTTCCTAGATAGCTGGGATCATTACAAAGAATGGCAAGTTGTAATAGATGATATTTAAAATATGAGAATGAAAGCATTAGAGTCCTGTGAGAGGCCTAAAAGGTTCTATTTCTTAAAGAAAAGAAATATAGCTACATTAACGAGCATTCATGACAACTGTTTAAAAATAAACACTTGGGCTGGATAGCTCAGCCGTTAAAGGCTAGGCTCACAACCAAAAATATAAAAATAAACACTAAGCCTTAATTGTGTCATATCAATTACCCATTGTGAAAAAGAACTGAATCTAAATTATTGTCCAACTAGGAACTCCCACATGCTGATTATTTTACTTTACTGTTTCAATGATAATACAGCATGACCATGACAAGTTATAGAAGAAAGCATTTATTTGGGTCTTATAGTTTCAGAGGGTTAAAGTCCACGGCTGTCATGGTAGGCAGCATGAGTGAAGGCAGGCAGGCATGATGCTGGAGCAGTATTTGAGAACTCACATCCTGAGATATAACCTCAGAAAACTTAGGTTATATCATGCAACTTAGGAATACCATGGCTTTTTGAAACCTTAAAGCCTTTTCTGAGTGACACACCTTCTTCAACAAGGCCACACCTCCTAATTTTTTCCAAACAGTTTTACCAACTGAAGACCAAGTATTCAAATATAAGAGCCTATGGGGTTCATTCTCATTGAAGCCACCATATTAATAGTTCTTTTCTCATTCTGTCTCGAGATGTTTCTGAGTTTGCTGTAAGCAAATTCTTTACCTAATTATATGTAGAGTTTACAACATGAGTTTCCTAGAACCAAAGATCCGTTGGAAGCTTAGACAGGACTTAATCAGTGGAGCTTGACAAATTTTATATAGAGTGGCCCATCTTTGGGGAATTTATTATATTTTCTAGCATATTCAAGGCATCAAAAACAAAATAAGGCAACTATTTTATTTGTTCCAACCTGTGCCACTTATGTTTTACCCTGGAATATGTACACACTGTTGTTCAGCATATGAGTTGGTATACTGTTTATGATATCATTAAGCTTGCCTGGAGATCAGAAAGCAAAGCTAGTTACAGCATAGAAGCCAGGTAGTGGTAGCACACACCTTTGATCTCAGGACTCAGGAGACAGAGACAGATGGATCTCTGTGAGTTCAAGGCCACTCAACATTAGAGATAATATAAAGAGCTCAGTGCAGTCTGAGGGATCAGTTTGAGGGTTTTGGTATCCAGCATTACTGTCTGAGAGAGTCTGAGAAGCAATGCAGTTTGGAGAGGCAATCAGAGGGCATGATCGGCCCCTCAGTTTGAACATTGCTAGAGGTGAGAAATCTCTAGTGGTTGGTCACTTCACTTATTTAGTCTTCAGCTTTAACCCCAATATCTACCTCTGAGTTTTTATGATTCGTGTTAGAAGCATACATTAATATTTCCAGCACCTCACTCTAAGGACAGGATGGTGTACGTAGTAATGATGAAAAGAGTTGGACAAATGAAAGCAAAGGGTTGTGTCAAGATTTATACTCATTTAAAATAGATTATTCGTTAAATTTTGCCTGTAGGTATTTTTTTGTAAAAGAACCTATTAAAGTGTTTTGTGTTTCTGAGTTTTACAGTTACTAGTATTGATATGACTTATTTATTACACTTCAATTGATATGTATAATATCATTTTAAGACCAAAAGGCATATATTGGTTGCTGGCCTGTGAGTTTTTTTTTAATTTGTACAAGTTTCTTTCTGGAGTCAGACATTTAATTGAATTTTTTCAGATATTTGAGAATTGCTTTTAATATTGGAAATAATATACTTGTTCATGCCAAGAAAACGGCTATATTTCTTGTTTAGTCTAACACAGAAAACTGTCTCTTTCTCTATATAATATAATGCTCATATATATTGTGCAATATAGTTATATATCCATACATATTTTATATACATATGTAAGTAGCTAGTACATAATATATATATATATATATCTGTAATTTCTTGACATATAGAAGATTCTATTGTTTCTAATTTCAATGTGATATATATTTCCAGATTTTTATCTTTCAAAAATTTGAAAAAGAATTAAATGCAATTACAAAACTTCCAAGATCCTAAGTGGGAGAAAATAGCCTGGGTATTTTCTTTTTTAGTTTTAAATTATAATAGAACAAGGTAATGTTTTAAAGTTACAATGTGTCGGGAAGCTATGCTTGTTAATATTGCTGTGTTAAATGTGTAGGTATTGAACTGTCCATGAAATATGAGACATTGAGTCAGTGACATTTTAAATGAATCTCATCACAGGGAAAGCCTGTGGGAACACCAGATGCCGGCGCTTATTTCCGTGTGCTTGCAGAGCATGGAGTGGCTGCCTTGTTTACAGCACCGACAGCAATTAGAGCAATCCGTCAACAGGACCCTGGGGCAGCCTTGGGGAAGCAGTACTCTTTGACAAGGTGAAGTAGAGATGCATAGGGTATATTACATCAGAACCTGCGGCCCAAATATAACTGAGCATTGTTTTCTGGTTTTGTAATACCTCCATAGAAAGAGTAAAATACTGAAAATGTTATTAAGAATCGCTCTGTATTTGTAACTCAGATAGTTGAATTAGGAACCTTACTATACATATTTTTAGGTGCAATAGACTTGATTGTTTCAGTTCAACTCAAACCATAACATTTCTCCCTTTTCCCTTCCTTCCTCCCTTCCTACCTTCCTTCCTTCCTTCCTTCCTTGCTTCCTTCCTTCCTTCTTTTTTTGTCTCCATCCTTCCCTTCTGCCCTCTCTCCCTCCTTATCTTCCTCCTTCCTTCCCTCCTTCCTTTCTTTTTTTAAAAACACTGTTTATACTTTTCTTAAAAGGAAAATTCTGATTATGACTTCAGATGTATGCTATCTCACTACTGAACTGTTTCCTGGAAATATTAAAATAAGCATGTCTTAAATAGAGAGAAATGATCCTCAAATACATATGAACAAACATAATGTGACTATTATTATCCAGATTACATTCATTAGTAATGACAGAAATTATTCTGTTTGTAACAACATGCTGTGGATACCTTAGACATTTTTGTGTTATTTGTTGATTTATTTAGTTTAATGATATGTATTTTCAGAAGTATTCATAACAATTTATACCCTCAAGGCCCTTTACATCACTACTGCTTGCTGAAGTCTGTGATATAGGTCATTAATGTCATAAGCTAAAAGAAGATATTTTGATTTTTCTTCAAGAAAAAGGGACGTTGGATTAAGACAGTTTGAATATTTGATGTTAAACGCCATGGTGTTTGAATTTTATATTTCTGTGGCCAGAAGTAAATAAAATAGGTATCATACAATCAGCTACTGAGATAAACAAGAAGGTTTATGTTTGGGAAGGATCTTTAGTTTGTTTATTCATCTTTAAATGCTTTTATATTATGAGACAATAGATCTAGATTTACTAAACATTACATAGGTAATGTAAACAATAGAGTTTCCTTTTGTACCATCATTTATCATATTTCAGTTGTCCCTAGTTCAATGCAGAAGACAGAAAATAGATTTTGGCAAAAAATACTCTATTAGTTATATAGTATCCATACCTTATGACAATCGTAGAGGCTGTGGGAAAGCATTAAGTTAGTTTCTTAAGTGTCTATTCACCAACATAAATATACTTTAATGGTACAAGTATAGGGCAAGGGATTTCATTTGTCAGTATGCTAAAAGGTCTTTTGTTTTCCCCATGTGTTCCTGCTAGTTGTTGTGCCCAAATTCTGAACCTCAAAGTCACCAAGACGCCCATTTCGAAGCAAAACAAAGAGTCTTTTATTGTAGATATTTAAGGAGAGCTAACCCCATTAACTCGGGCCCTTTACCTTGTCACCATGGCGAATGGCTGGAGAAAGACCCCAAGCAACTTCGAGGCAGGGACCTTAAAGGGCAGTGTGAGGAGAGTGTCTAGGGAAATCAAACAGTCTCAGGATTGGTGCGCTGCCAGGTTTGGGTGACCCACCTGGTTGTTATGGCCCATAGGCCCTCCCAGGGCGGTTGCTATGTTCTGCATGTCACTGTTGTGTGCTGTCCATAAAGCACAGCCCTGCCAGCTAACTTCTGTCAGGAGTGGTAAGGCCATGCAAGCACATGCTAGCCTGTAATGGCTGCTAAAATGGGGGACTACATTTACACATCGATTTTTACATGTTATCTTCCACACAATAATGATCACTAAAATCAACACTCTCTAAAATTGATTAAATACTCATAAGATATTAGAATTTATTTTAAGCCCAATGACAAAATCTTTCTCCTTTTCATCCTCCTCTGTCTTTAGGAACCAAGGTATTCATGATGGCACATTTGTCTGTTTTGAGTTGACACTTAGGTATACTAAATGCTTAGAATACTTTAATCTATAAACAACCCAATCTTCGAAATATTCTTATTAATGTGCGAACACACTGTACATTAGCAGTAACATCTTCATATGAAGAATCTGTAAACATTACCCTTATCTTACAAGTGAGTTAAGTTAGGACCGAGGGACTTAAATATCTCTTCAGGAAGAACCTAACAGACAATTTCACTATGACTCACACACTCACTTATCCACACAGGTATACTGTTGCTATTTAGAAAAAGTATAACCTCTCACAAGGCGTTTGGCATTCATGTGATAAAAGGATCTTTTGCTTTTCATATTTATAAGCTACACAAATAATATTACTATTGAACTATTTTAATAGATTTTCACTGTTCAACTAAGAGTTCAGTGAAAACAGAAGATTTTAAGAAATTCCATCTGTTTATTGCAAACAAAGAAGTTGATGTCTAACAAGGTTATTTTTGGGGTTAGAGGCTGATTCTAGAAAACTCTTCAAATCTCATAAAACCAAATGTGCAACATTAAAACCATGTTAAAGACATATAATACTATTTGGTGACACTAACAGAACTTATTTTTCAAGACTTTTATCAAGGAAAAATATGCACATAGGAGGATGGTTAGTGAACCCAAAACAAGCAGTGCCACAGTGATGAGATATATAGTTTTGTAACCATCTATACAACCATTATGGAATGCTGTGTTTGAGGAGAAGCCAACATTAATGAGGTAATAAAAGAAAATAATTGTTAAGAGTTATTGAAAATGCAATGAGCGTTTTTGTTGTATATTGAGAAAACATAAGAGAGCTCACTTTGTGGGAAGGTATTGTGAACTATGAAATGTTGGATTCACTATAAATCCCTTTTATATAGGAAAACGGTGTTGTGTTTAGAATATGATATATTCCTACATTTATAAGAAAACTTATTTATAGAGAAGTGGCTTGACAACTAAATGAAATGACAGTCTTTTAAGTAGATGAATGTCATGGCACCAACTGCTTTATAAGTACAAAAAATAGTTTTTTTCCATATATCATATAAAAATACTTTTAAATTAGCTTAACACATCAGGGTTATAAAAGAAATAAGCATGTGCTATTATTCACAATGACATTTTTAAAGTATAAATCAGAAACCATTGTTGGTTGGTTTTACACTTTTTACTATTTATTCTTTGACTCTTTAGGGGTGCCTGCCACCGAGCTCCCAAATAAATCACACATGGAGACGTATTCTTGCTTAGGAATGCCCAGCCTTAGCTTGGCTTGTTTCTAGCCAGGTTTTCTTAACTCTAATTATCCCATATACCTTTTTTCTTTTCTTACTTCTGTGACTCTTACTTTCACTTTTATTCTGATTCTTAATTTAACTTTTATTATGTGCATGGATGGCCCCTAGCGTCCTCTATCAACCCCACCTATCATTTCTCCTGCCTTGCTATTGACCATTTAGCTCTTTATTTGATCAATCAGGTTTTTTAGACAGGCAGTGATACAGTTTCACAGAGTTAAACAAATACAACATAAAAGAATGTAATACATCTTTGCATCATTAAAACAAATGTTCCACAGTATAAACACATGTGACACACCTAAAATAATATTCCATGACAACAAACCAATATGGAAATTTTAATGAAATTTGACACAATAATTTGAGCAATTGGCCATCAAAATAATAAAGACTTCTGTGCCAAGAGATTTTCATAACCTATATAACCATTAAATATTTAATTTATGGAGTTTATAAGCCCTCTCCCTAAGGAACAGACAACTACATAAAGAAATGAGTGTAGTAAAATGAATTCATGAAGAAGGATGCTAGAGCATGAGAAGATTCCAATTTCACAAATACATGAGAAAATTAAAAATTAAATGAGATGGCATTTTATTCCCACCATAAATTGAAAAACTAAAGCATATATCAGTGACCTTTCTAACAAGTGTATAATACATCAAGGCTGTTCTTATATTGCTGATGAGAGTTTGAACAAGTGCCGCTAATAATATGTTTATACTATGGTCAAACCTTTGTTGCTCTGGAGGCATGATGATGAGAGAAGTATAATGCTGTTCCCCACCTCAGAGAATAGGCTGTTGCCATGGGATGCTACTCCAGGGCCCAGAGTCAATACCACATGCTTTCTCATCTCTCCAGAGACTGAGCTGCCACTGTGTCTGTTAGAATTTATACCTAAATTCCAACTATGCCAGATTCTGCATAGCAAGGCGCTGAAACATTTTCTTTCTTTCCTGTGCCATCCCAGGCAGTACTTTATGACTTCCCCTACCACCATTATCAGAAGCACAGTTCCATCCCATCTTCCAGAGTGTATGCTGCGGATGTATGCCACAGACTTACACACACAAAAATCAACTTGTGCCTCCTTAATAATATTCTGCTTCCGGGAATCTGGCTTCACAGCCTCTTCATGTTTCTGGATCCCAGTGTTCTTATGAATGTTATAAGCCAACTCAGACCCATTAACAAAGAGACCCCTAAATACTTTTTCCTAATTACCTATGCAGCCAGAATCACTGTGACCAACTCCTACAACGTCAATCATTAAAGCATTCACAACCATTGCTCACATTATTATGACCAACCAACCAGCATCCTAGGGCACCTCTGAGAGGATTCTCTCCAGAAGCCACCCAGTACTGTTTGTGCAAAGCGACTTAAGTCTTTTAGTTTTTTAAGATTTACTTATTATGATACAGTGTTCTGCTAGCATGTATGCCAACATGCCAGAAGAGAGCACCAGATTTCATTATAGATGGTTGTGAGCTACCATGTGGTTTCTGGGAATTGAACTCAGGTTCTTTGGAAGAACAGTTAGGTCTCTTGACTTCTGAGCCATCTCTCCAGCCCTAAGTAACTGAAGTCTTAGACACAGATGTAATGAGCAGACCCAAAGAACATGAAAATCAGAGATATGACAGCTCCAACAAAATACAAGATTTTACAGCAGCTTACCTCAAAGAAACAGAAATCTGTTAAGTGATGCAAACGAAATTTAAAATTCTTCCCTAAGTATAAACTCAACAAAATTAAGAAAATGAATAGACAGTTCAATA